GTGTCCCCCCCCCCCCCCAGACTGGGAAGGGTCAAAGGGGGGAGGGGGAGGTATGGGGCAGAAGGCCCCACGTCTCTCCCTTCCCTGCCCAGGGCGAGGCTGGCGGCTCATCTGCCACGAACATCAGCCGCTGAGCACCTGTGCCCAGGCCGCTCAGACTCAAAGGGGGTGGTGGTGGTGGGGCATGGGGGAGGGGAGTAGGAGGTGTGTCCTCCCCCACCCCCAGCAGCGGACACACAGGAGCAGGGGCAGCCTCCCTCTCCCCTGGCAGCCGGGCCTCCTGCTCACCCCAGGGAACAGTGCTTGGACCCCCCGATTCCACAGGGATGCCCCTCCGGGCACATGGAGCGCTGGTGGGAAAGCACAGGAAAGGAGGAGGAGGAGGGAGCCCCCCGGGCAGGCCAAAGAAGGAAGGCGGGCACCAACCGGGAGCTACCTGGCCCACCAACGGCGGAGAATTTAAAAGGGCCACAGCCCTGCCGGCTATTTACAAGGCGAAGGCAGTGCCCGCAGAGTGGCAGTGAGATCCTTCGGTCTGAATCGCCCGAGAGGCAACGGGAACGGGGGAGGCTGCCGGGGAAGGGACGGGGCCTGAAGGGGCCGGGGGGCGGAACCATGCACATCTGTACAAAGACACAAGTCCTTCGGGGGGGGGGTGGCCGAGTCCAACCACGGGGGAAACACTGCCCAGCCAGCAGCACGAGAGAACAGAACAGAGAGCGCTCAGAGCGTCCTGGGTGGTGGAGGAGGAGGAGGCCCGGGGGGCGTGGGCAGTCCAACTCAGGCCGGGTTCTGCCTGCCTTCCACGCAGAGAAGAGGGTGGCTGAAGTGGGCGGGCAGCCCGGCGTCGCTGGTCCCACGGCTCTGGAGGATGCCGGCAAAGTCGGAAGATCCTGGAAGTGGGGGGAGAGGCACGCGGGGTCAGGAGCTCTGCCCCCCCCCCGGAAAGTGGCAAGGCAGAAGCGGCAGGGCGGGCCCCAGGAGGGAGCCGCCCCCTGCCGTGGTCTGAGGCCGGGTACTGGCCAGGGCCCTCCTCCACCTTCTGCCCAAAGTGGAACTGATGGGGGCAGGGATCCGGGGCAGGGAAGGGGGGGTGTGCCTCCCTGCGTCCCCCCCCCCCACCTCCCCGATTCTGCCTGCCTTTCCCCACCCCACCCCCTCCCCTCACGGAAGACACCTGCCAGCACGTACAAAGGAAAGAGAGGACGTACCCGCTTACTCCTCTATTCCAACAGAGCAGGAATCGGGGCCAAGGGCTGCCAAGGCAGGGGTGGGGGAGGGGGGCGAGGCAGGGTGGGGCAGACAGAGAGGGAGACGTTAGAAAGTGTCCGGAAGGAGACGGGGCCCCAAGTAGGGCTCTCCTCGCATCACCGGCCCCGCTGGCCCCCTCTAGCCTGGCTCTTTGGGCAGACGATGCCTTCTGAGGGGGACCTTGGCCCTCCTCCCCCCAAGCAAGCCCTTCTTAAAAGGCCTCCCCCAACCTGAACAGGCTTACAAGAACATCCCCACGCCCACCCACGTCCCCTCCACTGCCCTCCCCGTCTGCTTCCACACCCTGCAAGACGTGCCAGGATCAACGGGGGGGGGGGGGGGGGGGACACCCCAAGGTGGAGCCCAGATAACCAGGGAGGGGGGAGTGGCGGGTTTTGCCCACACTCAACCCCAATAACAAACCACCCCTGTGATTCGTGGTGACTCTGTTTTGTAGTTCATAAAAATACAGGATCTCGCCACCAGTGTTCCCTCTCAGCTGAGTCAGTGTGAGCTAGCTCACAGTTTTCTAGCCTCCAGCACGCACATTTTTGTCTTCGCTCGGGAAGGACGGCTCCAGGGCAAACTGGTTCATGCAGTATAGCCAAATCGCCCGCTCACACCTTTAATGCCAGGAGCCCACAAAGTGGAATAGTTGCTCACACGACTCTACGGCTTAGAGGGAGCGTTGCGCACAACTTAGAAGGTGATCCTGTCCCACAGTAGCCACCAGCCACAGGGATGGCTCGTTCTGAGGTTTCACACCGCGGTGCCGGTTTGCCTTCCCACACGCAAGCCCCGGCCAAGCTCCCAGCATGCCTCTCTCGCTCCCTCCTCCGGGCCACTACCTGGCAGGTACACGTCGGCTGGCGACTCGCTCTCCAGTTTCGGGAGGGGGCTGGTCTCGCAGGTCCCCGGGCTCTCTTGGAGGATGTCCTCGCCGGAGGGAAGCGGACTACCTGGGGACAGGCCAAAGGGAAGACTCCGTGTCCCCGGGTGCCTGGGGACTGCCCGGACCCCACTGCCAGGCCAAGCCTGTTCCCTTCCCCCAGCCTCCGCGGTTCACACGGGGGACGAGCTTCTGTTCTGCGCCCCAGCACTGGCCTGGCCCTTCCTCTGTCCCTCTCCCCGCTCAGTCCCAGGTGCTCAGCTCTGCTCCTGCTCTGCCTGGCCCCGTTCCAAAGTTTCCACCCGCGGCTCCTGCCCTTTGCTACATCCCGGGAAGGTTCCCAGGTCAAGCTCTTCTTACTGAGCCTATGAAACTTCCATGTGGAGGAGGAGGAGGAGGAGGTCTTGGGGCAGGGGTAGCCCCCGCCTAGTTCCCATCTACCCCAGGAGGGTCAACCGTCACAGACACACACCCAGGCCCATAGCCAGGATTCTTAAAATCCGGTGTGTGTGTGTGTCAATTCCTTAGGGGGCACTGGCTAATCAAATTAAAGGAATACCTGGCTCCTTCCCCACAACTGCCGCTGCTCGGGGGCCCTGGGCTGGATGGGAGGCCGTGGGGCCTGGCGAGTGAGTCAGGGGGCCTAGCCCCGGGATGCCCCACTGTAGCTACAGCTACACACACACACGCATGCCCAGCACTCACCTGTCTGTGGCGAGGCCGCCGCCTCTGCTTCTTCCACTGCCAGGCTCTTGAAAACAGAAGAGGGAGACCAGTCACAAAACGCTGCACGACCAGCTTTGTGCCAAGGAGCAGGAGCATGCCCTCCATCCCTCCCTCCCACCCCCCTGCTGAAATCCGGGTGATCTCTTGGGAGGATCGAGCGGGCACCGCACCGCACGGAGAAGACTCCTGGGCCGCAGGGCTCTGCCCCGGACGCTTTCGGAAGCAGGAGCCGGGCTGCAGCAGCAAGGAAGAGACAGGAGGACTGCCTGGGGGTCTTCGATGCTAGCCGCCACGGCTGGTGGCAAGACTGCCTTCCATGGAGGCAGACAGAACCGTCTTGATTCGGGGGGGGGGAGGTGGGCTCGCCAGCCCCATATGTGCCCCAGAGAGCACTGAGGTCAGGGACACAGAATCACCTGACTCTCCCTGGCCCCAGAGACGCCAGGTTGGCCATTACCAGGGCCAGGGCCTTCTCAGTGGCGGCTCCACTCTGGCGGAACGAGCTCCCGGATGACATCGGGGCCCTGCGGGACCTTCTACAGTTCTGCAGGGCCTGTAAATCGGAGCTCTTCTGCCAGGCCTTCGATTAGGAGCCGCCACTGAGGAACGAGCCACCGGAACAAGCCACGGCCCTTATGATACACCGCAGGAGGCGGCCTCCCACTACGGGATCGTATACTGAATGCCGCCATCACTGGCACCGTCTTTATTAGCACTTTTACGATGTTATGCAGGTTGTTTATGTGTATTTTACTGTATTTACTGTTTTATTGCATTTTAATGTTTGTACGCCACCTTGAGCCAGTTTGCCTGGCAAGGCGGGATATAAATTGAAAATAATAAATAATCATAATGAATAATAGAGACCCTGGATGGGGTCCAGCCACACGACTGAAGCGGATCCGCGGCGGAAAGTTCAGGAGCAGGAACAGATCCCAGACAAGGAGAGACAAGGAGAGACCAGGAACAAATCCCAGACAAGGAGAGACCAGGGCTCCCCTTCGTTTTCCGCCCTGCCCCCAAAGCAAATATGTCCCCCCCCCCCCCGAGTAGCACTTTTAGGGGACGCGAAGAGGAGCCGCCCCGTCATCTCGGCGTTCACTCGACTCCTGACAAGATTCCTTGGTTTTGAAAGGAGGAACTAGGCCTCAGGGCTGATGTCTGCCTTGGCTATCAGACTGCTGGCTACTGGGCTTAGACGGCCTGGTCAAAGCGGCCGGATCCAGCGAGGAGGCACGAAGCGCACCACGTGCAGAGAGCGTAGCACTTTCGCTGGAGCAGCTGCTTGGCTCCTCTCTCCACCTTTCTAGCAATTCTAGATGTTAGCTCAACTGCTGGATCAGAGGTGAATAGAAACGAAATACATTTTCATTGAATAGCATGGACTAATAATAATAATAGTAATAATAATAATAATAATAATAATGCCAGCTCTGTACGTAGACGCTAACATCAGATTTGGCCCACAGAGCAAAGATTTACTGCCTTCTACTTTTAAAAAAGCTGGGAGAGATCGGGGTGTCGGTTTGCTCAACTCCCTTCCAATTAAAACATCAGTTCTCTCCGGGATCTTCTTCCTGTGCCTCCCGGCATCAGGCTCGGTTTGGGGTCACCAGGGGATCTGTCAAGCCCCGTTCTGGGTCCTCATGGAAGCTATCCCCTAGATCGGGGGGGGGGGAGGGGGGAGGCCTGTGGGTCGCCATGCCTCATTTAGACTGCTGTTAGGAAGGGCCTCTCTCGGTGGTTCTGGCTGGGTGAAACGGCTTCTACAGAGGATAAAAAACCCGTATCGTTCAAATCCGGGCACTGCAGACTGGCACACCCACGCTGGCTAGATGGAGAGTATCCAAAGAAGGGGTGTGAGCGACAGCTAATTCCTTCCGAACGGGACAGCTGTCAGATAAACTCCAGCAATGCTGGAGATGTTACTTTTATGACTAGGAGCTACGTCATACTGCAAAGGTTCTCAACGTAGCAGTTCGTAGTCATTTAAACCTTTTGAAAAGCAAGTTTCAGAGAGGACAGAAAGAGTCTCAGCCGCTTTTCCGTTTGTGGAAGAGGACAAAAGCATTTCTTGCCCCCTCCCCCAGGGAACAACTTCAGGGGCAGAGGTGACTGTCACGGGAGGACAGAGGGCAGGAAGCGACTCTCTACACAGCACAGGTCCAAAACTGTGCAGTCGCAGGATCGGGGCCTCAGTTTCCATTTGCAGCTAAGTGGGAGACAGCCATTTCAAACCACCTAAGGAACGAAGAATCTCCCGCCTCCAAGGACCCAGTTTCGCTGTGTCGTAAGGTGAAAACTGATCACTGGAGTCCGCTGAAGGGAAGGGAAAGAGACTTGGGCCGTGTCATTTCTGAACAGCTTCTAACCAGATGGCCCTTTCAGGCACTGCTTTCCTTCCACAGTTCGGGCTGGAGAAAGCCACAAGAGCCCTGAGCAAAGACCAAAAATCATCGACCTGATCTTATTTGTTTAAACCAGTTCTCCGGAGGCCTCGTCTCTCTCCGGTTATGTTGCTGCGATTTGGCCTAACCGAGAGGTCCTTTTTAAAAGGGCAATTCTCCCAGGGGGAGAACGTCCTCCAAAAGCCTCTTAAACCCCCCCCCCCTTCCCTTGTTGGTGGTTCTGATAGCAGCAGAGAGAAGGGCCCAGTGGTGGCACAGAACCCCCAAGCCCCAAAGATCACAGCAAGTTGGCTGACCAGCGTTCCAGCTGCAGCCCTTACAGAAGGAGCGAGCCGTGCTTGCCAGTTGAGGGGAGGGCCGGGCGATCTGCCCCCCCCCCCCGGAAGAAGAATGTGAAAATGTCATTCCCGGCAAAGCGGTGTGTGTGTGTCTTCCCACAAGTTAGATGGCAAAAGGAGGGGTGGAGGGAAGGGGGGGCCACACTATGAACTTGGCAGGGTCAGCCGGACAAAAGCTGGGCCCTTCAGGAACAGGCAGGGGCCATTTCCTGCGGGAGCGCACAGGAGCGGAGCTCCGGCAGTAAGGAGCCCAGGGGGCGGGCACATGCAACAAGCCCCGCCCCCTGCTCCCAGCAGCCCTCAGTCAGCGCAAGGACCAGCCAGGTAAGTTGAAGAGCCCCAACCCCCTGGTCCTCCTTCAGGTACAAGCTCTCCCTCCTCTGTGAGGGCAGATCTGTGCGTCCCCCCCCCCCCCATAGCTAGCAATCCAAAACAGTCCAGTGGCACCTTTAAGACCAAGTTTTATTCAGGTACAAGGTCTCCCTCCTCTGCAAGGGCAGATCTGTACGTCCCCGTCCCCCCCCAATAGCTAGCAATCCGAAACAGTCCAGTGGAGCCTGAGCGGTGGGTGTTGCCTTCTGACACACTTCCGGTGATGTCAGGGGGTGTGGCATATGCAAATAAGTTATGTCAATGAGTTATGCTAATGAGCTCCTGCCCCCCTTTTTCTACGAAATGACCCCTGGGAACAGGAGAGCTCTTTCTGTAGGCCTGAGCTTGGCCACATCCACCCAACGTCCACCCAGGACCCCGTTCCCTTTTCTGGGGAATTTGGTGGAGCCGCAGCCATGAGATTTCCCAATGGTGGGCAAGGGCTGTTGCGCTTTCACGAGGCAGCCGGTCTGGGCGTGCAGCCAATGCCAAGAGGTGGGGGGGCACACGGGGGGCAAGCAGGGCTCACCTCTGGGGAGTTGCTCTCGCACAGGCTGAGCTCCGTCCCACTGAGCGGCGGCTGCAGCTCCGAGTCCTCTGAGAGCTTCTCCTCGTCTTCTTCGTGGATGGGCGAAGAGGGCGACCGGAGAGTGCTGCAGGGAACGGGAGAAGATTGGCTGCTGTGTCCCCCCCCCCGGGGGGGCCGCGTTCCCCGCGCTCGAGGAGCTCCTCCGGAAGGGGGGAGAGGAGCCAGGACTTGGCTCTGTCCTCTCGCGCTCGACACTGCGGGACCCCAGCCGGACCACCCCTTGGGTTCAGCGCACGCAGCAAGACCCTCGCTTCCCGTTCCAGGGTGGAGAGGGGCTCGGAAACCCTGCGGGCCTCCTCTGACAGAGGCCAGCCCCCCACCCCGCCCTCACCCCCTGCCGGAGGGTAGCAGGGCCAAAGCCAAGCCCCGCAAGAGCTGCCCAGCGGAAGAAGGGACCATGCCGGGCCTGAAGGGGGAGAGGGGAGACGTCCCGAGGCTGCTCCTCCTCCGCAGCCCTCCACCTCTACCTGTCTGGCGACTTGCTGCGCTTGCTCTTCTGGTGGCCGCTCTCCAGGGCCCGGTCGAGCCCCACGAGGGGCCTCCCGGGTGGGGGGAGCCCGTCCAGCACCCCGGTGTAGGTGATCTCGTCGTAGAGGGGAGCCGAAGGGAGGGAGGGTGAGACGGAGCGCAGGCCGTTCAGGGCCTCCAGCAGGGAGATGGGCTCGTAGCCAGGGGGGATGTTGTCCGAGCACTGCAAGGGGAGAGCAAGAGGGAGGGGGGGCGCCTCTTCAGGGCTGGGTTTCTGGTCTGACCGCCCCCTATACAGCCCTCCCCGCCACCGGAGAGACCTCCGTGCCTCTCGTCCACAGCCACAGAGATGGGGTTGCGGAGGCTTCAGTGCCGCCGTAGGGATCTCGTGCCCCCTGGGACCTAGGCAGGCAAGCTGGGGGGGGGCTCTTGGGACTCAGCGGCGGTTCCTGACCACGTACGGAGCCCTCCCCCCTTTCGCTCGGCCGTCTTCATAGCATCTTTCCTTTGCCGCAGTCGTCCCGAGTAGGCCAACAGTTACTCTTTTCGTGGCAAAGGGGAGGCCTTGCCCATGGCCACAGCAGAGCTCCACGGCAAAGGCACGCAGCAAAGGTGAGTCTCTCCAGCCACTGGGACGCGCCACGCCACATCACGGCTCTACACACACACCACCGCTCAGGCTCAATCCCAGCCACTCTCGCGGGCAGCAGTTCACCTCCAGGCAGAGACCCTTTCAGCTGAAGGTGGCTGGAGGGACTGAGCCCCCGTGCATTGCCCCCGCCCGCCCCCCGGTGACGTTGGCCCGGAGGAGCTCCTCACCGAGTGCTCATCGTGGTCCAGGGTCTGCGCCAAGACGGGGCTGAAGGAGATGGGCGAGAGGGCCCCCGGCTTCTTCCTCACCGCGCGGATCTGCAACAGGGCCCGGAAGGCTGCGAGGGAAGATGAGCGATACCCCCCTGCTGACCTTTGACCTCAGAAGGCTCCCGGAGGGGGGGAGAAACCCCTTTGGGCCACATTCATAGACTCATAGAACCATAGTTGGAAGGAACCTCCGGGGTCATCTAGTCCAACCCCCTGAACAATGTAGGAAATTCACAAATGCCTCCTTCCCTCCACACCCGTAGTGACTAGTGTTCCCTCTAAGCCATGTTAGTGTGAGCTCGCTCACAGTTTTTTAGCCTCCAGCTCACACACTTTTTGTCTTGGCTCAGGAAGGGATGGCTCCAGAGCAAACTGATTTATCCAGGAGCCAAATCGCTTGCTCGCAGCTTTACCGCCAGTGGCTCACAAAGTGGAATTCTTGCTCACAGGACTCCACAGCTTACAGGGAGCGTGACCCACGGTAGCCTGTGCGAACCTCGGGGCCCCCAACGACCCACCGGCCAAGCTGGCGGGGAGAGACCCGTATCCCAGGGAGTGCTGGATTCGACCCCGCCCCCCCCCCGACTCACGCAGGCGGCAGATGGGGCAGTTGTTGGCCTGGTAGCGCAGGGTGTCGGCGCAGGAGTTGCAGAGGCAGAGGTGCCTGCAGGGGAGGATGAGGGTGTCCCGCAGGTCGGAGAGGCACACCACGCACTCGTTGCTGTTGTCACTGTTCTCGTCGTCGCAGGGCTGCAAGCGAGAGGGGGACTCTTCTAGGACGGCGCTGCCCCGCGAGGGGCACCCCCCGCCCCGAGCCATCGGTTCTCCCCCCCTGCCACCCGAGACACTCCACAGTTTCTGCCCATGTCCCGTCCCCCCGTGGGGCAGATCCAGGGAGCTACCTGGCGTTCCCACCGCCACGCGGTCACCCCCCCCCCGCTTAATCCTCACAACAGCCCTGGAGGGCAGGCCGGAAGACAGAGAGTCAGCTTCGGGGCCGAGTGGGGATCGGAACACGGAGACACGCCCGTCGCAGGGAGGGGGGGAAGCCAGCAGACCCCCAGCTGGCCCAGTCCCTTGGCAGCCTTCTCCTGACCCCCAGCTCGGGGGCTGCTGGCGGCCTCTTTCTCACCTTCGTCTCCTGATTATTCTTGTTCTCGATGCCGTAGATCTCCTGCAGCAGGTAGCTGACCCGGTCCACCTGGGGAAGGGGAAGGGAAGTGAACAGGTGGGCAGGTGGGCCCAGAAGGGGCCTATCAGGTGGGCCATGCTGAGCAAAGGGGAGGGGAGAGTGACGCAAAAGCAGAAACCGGGCGGACTCGGCTGCCTTTCCTGCCATTCCCGGAAAGCCAGGCGGAGGGCAGTTTTAAGAAAGCGCTCTCTCACTCAACTCCTTCAAAGCAAGAGGCCCTCGGGATCTGAAGCAGGGGGCCCCCTACAGCCACACCTCACAGTTTCCCCACGCGGCACCTGTGGAACTTCTGCCTGCTTCAAGACAGATCACTGCAACAGTACTTTGATTATGGTTATAAGCAATGCTCCCTCTAAGCTGTGGAGTCTTGTGAGCAAAAATTCAACTTTGTGAGCTACTACTGGCATTCAAGTTGTGAGTGAGCGATTTGGCTGCTGCATAGATTAGTTTGCTCTGAAGCCACATCCTTCCTGAGCTAAGACAAAAATGCGTGAGCCGGAGGCTAAAAAATTGAGCTAACTCACACTAACTCAGCTTAGAGGGAACACTGGTTATAAGAGACACTGATTGTCAAATGAACTATGAATTCTCATTCTGCTGTGCTCTGGTTTCCACATTACGGAGAGCATCGTATTTTGACGCTGTTCTGTTTGATCTATTGACTGCTAAATGACTCCGGAAGGTGATACAACCACAGACTGAAAATCACATCCCATCAGGATAATTTTAAAACGTGGCTTACGTGTATTAGATTTATTTAACAACTTTAGCGCTATCGGCCCACTCAAGACAAACCTCGCTGGCTTGTTGTTTAGTTCCCAGCAAGATCCCCGGGGAAGCCAAAATAGATCATTCCCGGCAGGGCCTTCGGAGCCCCCCCCCCAAATCCCCGGGGGGGGGAGCGGAGGGACAATGGACAAGGCCTCTCTGGAGAGGCACCTCGGATTTCTGCTGAGCCTGGAGCTAACCCAAAGGGGAACCCTAAATGGGGATATTTTTATTTTATTTTTTTTAAGTAATCTATTTTACGTTTGAGTGCCTGCACACGAAAGCTCACGCCTTGAATACACCTGTGCTGGTCTTGAATACACCTGTGCTGGACTTAAAGGTGTCGCTGCTGCTTCAGACCAACACGGTGACCCACCTGAATCTGTTTTAGGTGTTTTATTAACACTGTCAGCCACCGTGAGTTCCATAAGGAAAGAACGGCAGCTAATAAGATTCAACCAATCAATAAGAAGGACTTACGATTTGCTTCTGCTTCAAAGGCTTCACGGAGAAACTGCCATCGACGTGCTGGAGCGGGGGGGGGGAGCGACCAGAGAGAGAGATCAGCACCGCTCCACAAAACAGGAGAAGGGGGGGAGCCCTCAAGGAAGCCGCCCACCCACCCGCCCCCCAAATCCTGATTTTTCAGGAGGACAGGACAGGTGCAATGAACTTGCAGGCCGACTAGCTCTGTTTGCAAGATCGGAGACTGGGGACACGGCCGCTTTTTTGCTTCAAAGCACACAGTGGGGGGGGGGAGCGAGGAAGGGGCTACCGCAGCAGGCACCACCCAGGAGGAGTCATGGAGGCCGGGTGCAAGCACCTTGCCCCTTCAGAGCTCAGCCCCCCGGCCCCACGCCCAAAGACCCGATGCAGACCTGGATGTTATGGGAACTAGGCCAGGGCGTCCTGCCAAGAGTCAGCCAAGAGCTGCTCCCCCCCGCCCCGCCCTGCTTTTGGTCTCCCCAAAGAGACCTCCCCAAGGGTGCCACGGGGGGGGGGGGCGGAACAAGCCCCTCTTCTGGGAGAACAGTGCCAGGAGATGGGGAAGGCCACCGCCCCCCCGCCCCCCCCCACACATACGTGGCCCCCATCGCCAAGGCAGTGCTGGGAGGACCGATGCAGGCCGGGCAGGGAGACCCCTTTCCCCACTGACTGACTGTCCGCCCTGGGCCAGCGCCCCAGCGGCGACGGGCAGAAGGCCCAGGACGGGCGCCTCCGCCACGGCCCAGGTAACCCGAGAGGGAGATTAGATAGGATGGCTCTGCAGGATCCAGGGCACGTCACGCTCTTTGCTACGCTGCGCCGCAAACAGCCGTCTCTGTGTCCCTGCTCTATTTGCATCAAAAGCGGTCTCATCACGACAGACTGAATGAGACCCTGGAATCCCCCCCCCGTCTCACAGAGAACGCCCTTCCTGTGTCATTTACAGGGGCACCAAAGCGCCCCCTGTAGCACTGCAAAGGATTGTGGGATACGCAGCCCTCCGCGGAGTGTCTTGGTTCACAACGGCCCCTCTCTGGGGACAGAGACTCTCCCCGGCCGGCTTCCTCTCTCAAATGTGCCCTTGTTCATCCTTCGCCTGCTCCCTTAGCTGCACTTGGCCTTTCCTCCACCAGCCGAGGAGGACAACCCCTCTCCCTCCGGCACCCCCACCAATGACCCCTTCCCTGAGCCTCCTCTCTGCTCAGTCTAGCGAGGCCTGGGGCTTCCTCCGCAGTCCGCAGTGTCAGACGCTCGAGGGCTGGCCTCCTGCATAAATCCTCCCTAGTCAGGATTAGGGACGTGCGGGGGGGGGGGGGGGGGAACAGACACTACTCGAGATTTGGCCGAATCGGGCAGAATCAATTTAGGCCGTCGAATGACCCCCGAATGTCAGTTTCGGCAGTAGGAGCCAATTCAGGAGTCATTCGGCCAGCTGAAAGTCAATTTTGGCCCCTTCCATCTAAGCGCCGGCTTGCTCGGGCGCCCTGCAAGCCATGGAAAGGAAGGCACTGCAGTTTAAAGTGCCTTCCCTCCCTGGCTGTTTTCCCGGCTGCCGCCAAATTTCAGTGGCGGGCCGAATCACACCAGAGAATCTGACTCGGCCCGCAGCTGCCCGAAAGGGGGCCAAACGGCCCATTTTTGGGGGTGCATTCAGTTCTGACGCACCGAATGCACATCCCTAGTCAGGATACACAACTTTTGAGCCCTGCCGGCCCCAGGCAGAACTGGGCAGCTCTGTCACCTCCCCATCTCTACAGCTCTCGTGCTTTCCAAGACAGAACCGTGTCCCAGCCCCCCCCAAGTCCCCTTCCCACTTACCATCGCCTTCGTCCACCACAGCCTGAATGACGACAGGGAACACGCCGCGCTCCAGGTCAAAGTTCAGCTGGAAGGGGAGGGGAGGGGGGGTGTCAGTCACGCAGACGAAGGCCCCAGGCTGAGCACCAAGGGACCAGGCCTTCCCCAAAGCGGACAGGGCAGGCCCCGGTTGCTGGCAGGGAGCCAACGCTGCTCTCTGGCTGCTCCGCAGAGCTCTCCTCTTTCCACTCCCGGGAAGACACCTCGGCTGCTGCTTCGAGGGAAAGTCGCAAGCCAGCCAAGGAGCCCCGCCTAAACCGCAAGAGGCCGGGGCAGCCCGAGGGCCCGGAAGAGTTACCTCGTCCTCCTTCCAGTCGGAGAAGTCGATCTTGAAGGATGGCAGCGAGAACTGCTGGCTGACCCCGCGCTTGTAGTGAACCGTCTCGGACTGCAGGGAGGGGTTCTTGGTGCTGTAGCTGGGGGGGGGGCAGAAAGAGGCTCAAGCTGGACATGGCCCACCAAACCTGCCTTCCCCTGAGAAGAACACCAGAAGAACCCTGCTGGGTCAGACCAGGGAGGGTCCATCTAGTCCAGCATCCTGTCTCACACAGGGGCCAGCCAGTCCCTCTGGAGGGCCAGCGACAGGGCAGAGAGGCCGAGGCCTTCTCCTGAGAAGAACCTCAGAAGAGCCCTGCTGGGTCAGACCAGGGAGGGGCCATCTAGTCTAGCCTCCCATCTCACACAGGGGCCAACTAGTCCCTCTGGAGGGCCAACAACAGGGCAGAGAGGCCAAGGCCTTCCCCTGATAAGAACCTCAGAAGAGCCCTACTGGGTCAGACCAGTGAGGGTCCATCTAGCCCCGCATCCCGTCTCACACGGTGGCCAGCCAGTCCCTTTGGAGGGCCAACAACAGGGCAGAGAGGCCGAGGCCTTCCCCTGCTAAGAACACCAGAAGAGCCCTGCTGGATCAGACCAGTGAGGGTCCATCTAGTCCAGCATCCTGTCTCATACAGTGGCCAGCCAGTCCCTCTGGAGGGCCAGCGACAGGGCAGAGAGGCCGAGGCCTTCATAAGAACATAGGAAGAGCCCTGCTGGATCAGACTTGTGGTCCAGTCTAGCATCCCGTCCCAAACAGTGGCCAGCCAGTTCCACTGAAGGGCCAGCAACAGGGCAGAGGCCTTCCCCTGATAGGAACATCAGAAGAGCCCTGCTGGGTCAGACCAGTGAGGGTCCCTCTAATCCAGCATCCCATCTCACACAGGGGCCAGCCAGTTCCTCTGGAGGGCCAACAACAGGGCAGAGAGACTGAGACCTTTCTCTGATGTTGCTTCCTGGGATTCAAAGGTTGACAGCCTCTGAGCATGGAAGTTCCCCTTAAGTCACCATGGCGAGGAGCCTCTGACGGCCCTCTCCCTGGGCATCTGTCTCACCCCCTCTTTTCAAGCCATCTCCGTTCACAGTCATCACTACATCCAATAGCAGTGAGTTCCACCCCTTCATTACTCGCTGAGTTGACTACTAGTCTACTTTAAGCCAGATTTCCCAGGGGGTGCCCCCATCCAGAACCTCCCCAGTCCTGGAAGGCAGAGGACACACCGTTGGCAAGGAAGCGATGCAGCCGAGGACCGCGCTGCGGGGCTGTCTGCAGACGTCACAGTGAAACACCGCCCTGCTGGGCCATTCGGGAGCCCAGGCCCCCCTCTCCCACTGGTGGCTGAGCTGGGCCGATGCCCCTATCAGAGAGAGTCTCTGGTTCAAGGAGGTCACTTGAGAGCCAAGGCTGCCAACAGGCCAGGGGTCCCCAGTGCGGTGCTCCTGGGCGACACGGAGCTCCACCAACGCCTTCCCTGGCACCTCCCCAGGTCTTTCCCCCCCCCAGAACGCAGCTGTGCAGCTTTTTAGGAGAAACTGCTTTGCCAGCAGCTTTTGGCCACCGCAGCGCAAGGATCTTCACTGGGTTGACTGCAAAGTTGTGCGTCAGCAAGGAAATATTTTAATAGCAATATATTAACTTGAAAAGGCATGTTGTGGGCAGTGTTCCCTCTAAGCTGAGTTAGTGTGAGCCAGTTCACAGTTTTTTAGCCTCTGGCTCACAGATTTTTGTCTTCGCTCAGGAAGGGTGGCTCCAGAGCAAACTAATTTATGCAGCAGCCAAATCACTTGCTCAAAACTTTGATGCCTGTAGCTCACAAAGTAGAATTTTTGCTCACAAGACACCACAGCTTAGAGGGAACATTGGTTGTGGGCAATGCTCCGTCTAAGCTGTGGAGTCTTGTGAGCAAAAATTCTACTTTGTGAGCTGCTGGCATTAAAGTTGCGAGTGAGCGATTTGGCTCCTGCATGAATTAGTTTGCTCTGGAGCCATCCCTTCCTGAGCTAGGATGAAGATTTGTGAGCCGGAGGCTAAAAAACTGTGACCTAGCTCACACCAACTCAGAGGGAACACTGGTTGTAGGCAATGTTCCCTCTAAGCTGAGGAGCCTTGTGAGCAAAAATTCTGCTTTGTGAGCTGCTGGCATTAAAGTTGTGAGCGAGCGATTTGGCTGCTGCATAAATTAGTCTGCTCTGGAGCCGTCCTTCCTGAGCTAGGACGAAGATTTGTGAGCCGGAGGCTAAAAAACTGTGACCTAGCTCACACCAACTCAGAGGGAACACTGGTTGTAGGTATGTAGGGCTCTCTTTCCACTATGCTCCTGCAGAGTGCAGGGGGTTGGACTAGATAACCTGCAAGGTCCCTTCCAACTCTAACATCCTATGATTCTATAGACGTCGCTTCTGCGCCTGAAATGTCGAAGCGTTTCCGCTAGGAAAAAAGCAACCGTGAATCTATTTCCATAATAAGAAAACTCGGTTGGTCTTGAAGGTGACACCGGAATCGGACTTTCTTCTGCTGCTTCGGAAGGATATGGCGACCCGCCTCGACCTAGATCAAGACGGGTGGGCCGTGTTCGTCCGTCTGGAGCAGTAGAAAAGAGCCAGAGTCCAAGAGCACCTTAAGGACGAACACAATTTGTGGCAGGGCACGTCTGATTTTGTGAGTCGCCACTCACTTCTTCAGATCTGAAGGAGCCATGACTCACCGAAGTCCCTCCCCTGCCACTAATTCTGTTAGTCTTTCAGGTGCTCCTGGACTCTCTGGATCTTTTCTACCCCCTGAATCTAGTCTCTGCTTGAGTCAGGCCCAGCCTCACTCCCTGGCATTCTGCCCTTGGCGCCGCCTCCTGCGGCTGTGCCCCCCGCCCGGTGTCAGCATTCGAAAGGACGGATCCTCCTGACAGAGGCTTCCGGACACTCACACCGCCATGCCGCTCACAAACTCCTCCGTCGCCTGGCAGTAGATGGTGATGGCCACCCGGGCGTCGGCATCGAAGGTGAACTCCAGGCTGTAGGAGGCCCGCTGCTTCCCGCTCTCCTCGGTGGGGCTGTCCGTGTCATCTTTGTACCTGAAATGCAGAGGAAGCCGGAGTCAGCGCGGGGGGGGGAGGGACTTTGTTTCACTCGCCGCTCTCTCTCTCTCTCTCTCGGCCGGAGTTCCTGACCTGCTCTCGTCTCTCCCTTTGCTTCCTTCCCCCGTTTCACAAACGTCCCCCACCTGAATGAGTCACGGGCACATTTGAGAAAGGCTCCACACAGCCTTCCGAGGAGGAAAGCTCTGGGCAGCGGCCGCCCCTCCCCGTTCTAGCCAGGCGTCGACCTGCCCAGGAGCCTCCGGCTCTTTCTCGAGCTGCGTAAGAAGTCCAGGCCGGCCAACAAGCCGGGGTCTGCATTCCACACACCCGAGACCCCTGGATGCCCAAGGTGCCAGTGACAGGACTGCCCTGCACGCCGAGCCACGCCACACCCCCAACGGCAAGAACACAGCCTTCCTCTTCCTCTGCCCCTTTCATCACACGCCACAACCTCTTCCTTCGTCCCCCTAGCCAGCATCCCATTGGCAAGATCAAGGCTCCCTCTAGGCTGTGGAGTCTTGTTAGCAAAAATTCTACTCTGTGATCAACTGGCATTGAAGTGGTGAGTGAGCCATCTGGCTACTGCATAAATCAGTTTACTCTGGAGCCTTCCTGAGCCGAGACAAAAATGTGTGAGCCAGAGGTTAAAAAACTGTGACCTGGCTCACACCAACTCAGCTTAGAGGGAACACGGGTCGCTCGCAAGCAATGTTCTCTCTAGGCTGTGGAGTCTTGTTAGCAAAAATTCTACTCTGTGATCAACTGGCATTGAAGTGGTGAGTGAGCCATCTGGCTACTGCATAAATCAGTTTACTCTGGAGCCTTCCTGAGCCGAGACAAAAATGTGTGAGCCAGAGGTTAAAAAACTGTGACCTGGCTCACACCAACTCAGCTTAGAGGGAACACGGGTCGCTCGCAAGCAATGTTCTCTCTAGGCTGTGGAGTCTTGTTAGCAAAAATTCTACTCTGTGATCAACTGGCATTGAAGTGGTGAGTGAGCCATCTGGCTACTGCATAAATCAGTTTACTCTGGAGCCTTCCTGAGCCGAGACAAAAATGTGTGAGTGCCGGAGGCTAAAGACCTGTGAGCTGGCTCACACTAACTCAGCTTAGAGGGAACACTGGGCAAGATCCTTCCTCTCCTCCACCATTCTGGCCACACAAGGCCCTTCCGTTAATGTAGACACTGGCTTCTGGTCCACCCTTGGACCTCTGAGCCTCCTTGGTCTCTTCTCGCTCAGGCAATCCCTGCCCACATTCCCCACCTCCCTCCTCCTCCATCTTCACATCCACACACCCCGTCGGCCACGCCTGGGAGGCTTCTGGGAGGCTCTTCCTTCGCCAACCCTCGGCCTCCCGCTCCTTCTCCGCTCCCCCTGCCAGCCCCCCCCCATCCCTCTTGTCACCTTTGCCACTGAGGGTTGAGGGACTCCCACTGGCCTGCAGCCAGCCAGCCGGCCTTTTGTTCTCTGTTGCTGGGCCAACTAAAGCTCCCTGTGTCTCGGGCCTTCGTCTCACTGATTCATCTCACTGATTCCAGGCCACAGTGATCGACCACTTGTGACCAATGGAATGTGATGCCTTTTGAACCTTCCTGTCCCATATAAATTGTGCAGTTCCTTAATGTTAGGACACTCCATGAAATTGCTGAGTGGTCGGGTTAGAACGGATAAAAGGAAGTACTTCTTCACCCAAAGAGTGATTAACACATGGGATTCACTGCCACAGGAGGTGGTGGCGGCTACAAGCATGGACGGCTTCAAAAGGGAACTGGATGAGCATATGGAGCAGAGGTCCCTCAGTGGCTCTTAGCCACAAGGTATAGATGGGGGCTCTGGGGCAAGGGATGCTCTGTGTTCTTGGTGCTTGGGGGGGGTCAACAGTGGGAGGGCTTCTAATGTCCTGGCCCCACTGGTGGACCTCCTGATGGCACCTGGTATTTCTGGCCACTGTGTGATACAGACTGGATGGGCCTTTGGCCTGATCCAACATTGGCTTCTGTTATGTTCTTATTACAATGTAAGAACAGAAGAGAAGCCCTGTTGGACCAGGCCAGTGGCCCCTCCGGTCCCACAGTGGCCAAAAATACCAGGGGCCATCGGGAGATCCAGCAGCGGGGCCAGAACTCCAGAAGCCCCCCCACTGATTCCCCCCAAGCTCCAAGAAGACAGAGCATCCCTTGCCCCAGACATCGGAACGTAGGAGAAGCCAATGTTGGATCAGGCCAGTGGCCCATCCAGCCCAACACTCTGTGTCACACAGTGGCCAGAAATACCAGGTGCCATCAGGAGGTCCACCAGTGGGGCCAGAACTCCAGAAGCCCTCCCACTGTGCCCCCCCCAAAGCACCAAGAAGACAGAGCATCCCTTGCCCCAGACATAAGAAAGTAAGAGTAGCCAACGTTGGATCAGGCCAGTGGCCCACCCAGTTCCGCGCTCTGTGTCCCACAGTGGCCAAAACCCTGGGGGCCATCATCACTTGTTCAATACAGAGTTGCTATTCACACTCCTACGAATACCTTTCGCTTTCGAGACTCAAAGCTCTCTGATGTCAAAGCTCTCTGAGGAAGGGGGCTTGGACCCTGGGAAGCTGACACCCCGAAAACCTTGTCGGTCTCGAAGGTGCTCCTGGACTTAAATCCATGAACAGTGTTCCCTCCAGGCTGAGTGATCCTGCTCACGGTCTTTTAGCCTCCGGCTCACACATTTTGGTCTCAGCTCAGGAAGGAGGGGGCTCCAGAGCAAACTAGTTTATGCAGCAGCCCAATCGCTCGCTCACAACTTTAACACCAGGAGCTCACAAGGTTGAATTTTTGCTCACAAGACTCCACAACTTAGAGGGAGCGTTGCTCAGGAATGCATTTAATAACTTAGCACAGAGGATCTTAGCTGTTTCTCCACACCCACTGGTGTCAAAACCTCGGCTGTAAACTCCTCAGGGCCGGGACCGGCCCCTTTGCACTACGCAGACGTGCGAGCTCGAGCTCCCCCCTCCCCCGGGTCGCTATGTCCATGCACAACAACATAAGAGGCCCCTTGAGTGTAGCCGAACCGGAGCCCTAAGGGGAGCCCTGACTGCCACAGGCAGAAGCGTGCGTCTTCAGTACCTGACCAGGCGGACGGAGTCTTTGCGAATATTCACCAAGCTCCGCAGTGTCTTCACCGGTTCATGAGGCGCTGGGGTCACATAGGGAAACTAGAACAACAGACCAGGAGCCATTTCAGTAAAAGGCACAGCAAGAAAGGAGATGGGCGGCCCGGCTGGCAGCGCCCGGCTCAAGAACCACAGGGGAGAACCCCTCTGCACTAAGACGGGATTCGTCCCACCTGCCTCAGAGGGGGAGCTCGGCCACGGGCATTCAAGGGAGAGACAAACGAAAGGCGGGACACACACAAATGTCAGCACATTTCGAAAAGCAAAGCAGATCCTGAAGTTCTTGAAAAGCAAATCTTGACGTTCCAACTGTCGTTGCGAGGAGCCCTTTCTAAAAATAATTGGCTTTGCAGGAATTACAGAAGAGACTCTGTATTTTGTACCTTCTTTTCCTGTTAAATATAAATCCTCATTACAAATTTAACTGGAAAGGGTTTCCTTTTTTTAAAAAAAGGCAACACTCAAAGTAAGACAGAACAAAGTTTTGAGTCCGGTGGCACCCTTGAGTCCAACAAAGTTTAATTCTGAGTATAAGCCGACAGCGAGATGAGAGAACTAAGCAGCAACAACCGCTGTGAAATCATCGCTACTAGCACTTTATTATGTTTGGTGGTTTTAGAATTGTTACTTGTATTAACGGATGCTGATTAATCCTTATTCTATATTATTGTAAATTTTATGTTGTTTTTATGTAAGCCGCCCTGAGCCGGCCTCGGCCGGGAGGGTGGGGTAGAAATGTAATCAATCGATCAATCGATCAATCAATCAATCAGCTTTCGTGTGCATGCACACAATTATACCCAGAATTAAACTTTGTTGCACGCACATGAAAGCTGATACCCAGAATTAAACTTGGTTGGTCCTGAAGGTGCCCCTGGACTCAAACTGTGTTCTCTTGCTTCAGACCAGCACAGTGACCCACCTGGATCTATCAAAGTAAGATAGGATAACTTTTTTGGGGAAAAGGGAGAGACTGCTGCCTGCCCCCCACCCCACCCCCACTCCTTCTGGTGCCAATTAACCCCCCCTACGCCCCCCCTCCTAACGGAGGACCCCTCACCTGGACGGGTCGATTGCCAAGGAAGTTGAGGTCCATGTTCTCCCCAAACAGGTACCCCTCCGGATGTGGCGTGTCAAACTTCTCTCCTCCCATGAAAAAATGGCTGGCAAAATAGTTCCCTGGAAAAAAGGGGGTGAACACAAGCGATTGAAAATACCCCGATTGCACCTATGCAGCCAGGGGGCAGGAGGAGACCACGAGGCCAGCAGCCCACTTCGGTGGGAAGACAGGGCCCTCCCAGTGTGTCCAAAGTCTGCTCCAATTTGCACCATGGTATTGAGGGCAGGAAGCCCGTAGCTGGGGGGGGGGTTCAGAATTAGGGACCCGATCGGGCCACCCTGGGAGCAGTTTCTTTGGCCATCTCCCCTTGGGCAACTCCCTGCACAAGAAGACGTTTCCTCTGCGAGAAAGGAGGCAGCGATATGGACTGAAATCGCAGCCCCTCCAGCAACGAGAGGAGTGGGGGGGAGATACGAAGCCAGTCACGAAGACCTCGGCCAGACATCTGAACCCCCGAGGTCTCCAAGAGGCTGCGCAGAGCAGGGAGCTGAGGCTTCCCGGTCCTGTCCGCCTGGCGTAGAGGTCAGACTAGGATCTGGGAGACCCAGGTTCGAGTCCCTGCTCTGGTGACAAGAAGCACGCTGGGCAGTGTTCCCTCTAAGCCGAGCCGGTGTGAGCTACCTCACAGTTTTCTAGCCTCCGGCTGACACATTTTTGTCTCCACTCCAGAAGGATGGCCCAGAGCAAACTAATTTGTGCCGGAGCCAAATGGCTCGCTCACAGCTTTAATGCCAAGCACTCACAAAGTAGAATTTTTGCTCACAGGACTCCACAGCTTAGAGGGAGCACTGGTGCTGGGTGGCCTTTGGCCAGTCAGGCACCACTCTTGGCCAGACCTACCTCGCAGGGTGGTTTGGGTCCCCAAACTGGGGAGGAAAGTGGGATAATAATATAAATGCAGGAAGTGAACAAAGGAGGGAACCCCTCCTGCAGCCCTGGTGCGGGCCAGGCGGAAGGGGCCAAGCGGCCAGGGAGCAGCAGCAAGGGGCCGGTGGGGAATGGGGGTGGGGTGGGGGGGTGGGAGAAGCAGCCCAGAGCAGGCAGACGCCATCCCTGCCCAAGAGGGGAGCCCCCCCCCAGGCACAAGAGGAGAGCAGCGGCCCCCAACACGCTACAGGGAAGGAGAGAGGCTTGTGCGTCTGCCCAGCCAGCCGGCCAATTTTCCAGGATGCCAACCTTACAGGTGAGCAAACAGCAATGAAAGCAACCGTGATGTTATATTACAAAAATATATTTAGACTGCTGTTCTGCAGTGAATCGTATTTCTTCATCGCATTATAAAAACGTATAGCTGATCTCCACCGGAGATCACTTCCCCCGGAGAAAGTGGCTGCCTTGGAGGGTCGGTTCTGTGGCAGGACACCCCTGGCCAAGCACCCTCCCCTCCCCAAACCTTGCCCTTCCCAGGGTCCACCCCCAAAGCTCCAGGAATGTCCAGACCCGGAGTTGACAACCCCATTGAGGGCCCGGTTTTGTCGTTTCCCCCAAAAGAGGCCAGCCCGCCTCATCTCCTGCATGCGTGCAGTCTTACGATCTGGTCGCCAAACTCCGGGTGTGATATAGAAAAATATATGACACTAGTCCACAAAGTAGTGATTGTGAAAATGACAAGGTGCTGCTTGAATGTAGCGTAAACCCGCACTTTGGTGTATTGTTTTGGTGAACCTATGCTTGGTAATGCTTGACACTAATATTTATGTAACAGCATAAGAAAAAGTTAAAAAATAAAAAGCACAAAATAGATCAAACTTGAACATGCATCTATTATACACAGTGTCATATATTTTTCTATATTTTCCTAACACTGTGACCCTCAGTTTTTGTACTATGAACGTCAGGTGTGGCCTGGGGATTTTTCCATAATTACAACTGGTCTAGAGAGGACAGAGGTCAGTTCCCCCAGGAGGAAACGGCTGCTTTGGACATGAACAAATATTGCACATTTTTATTTAAAAACATGCAAATCTGCAATCGTATTTCTTCATCGCATTATAAAAACGTATAGCTGATCTCCACCGGAGATCACTTCCCCCGGAGAAAGTGGCTGCCTTGGAGGGTCGGTTCTGTGGCAGGACACCCCTGGCCAAGCACCCTCCCCTCCCCAAACCTTGCCCTTCCCAGGGTCCACCCCCAAAGCTCCAGGAATGTCCAGACCCGGAGTTGACAACCCCATTGAGGGCCCGGTTTTGTCGTTTCCCCCAAAAGAGGCCAGCCCGCCTCATCTCCTGCATGCGTGCAGTCTTACGATCTGGTCGCCAAACTCCGGGTGTGATATAGAAAAATATATGACACTAGTCCACAAAGTAGTGATTGTGAAAATGACAAGGTGCTGCTTGAATGTAGCGTAAACCCGCACTTTGGTGTATTGTTTTGGTGAACCTATGCTTGGTAATGCTTGACACTAATATTTATGTAACAGCATAAGAAAAAGTTAAAAAATAAAAAGCACAAAATAGATCAAACTTGAACATGCATCTATTATACACAGTGTCATATATTTTTCTATATTTTCCTAACACTGTGACCCTCAGTTTTTGTACTATGAACGTCAGGTGTGGCCTGGGGATTTTTCCATAATTACAACTGGTCTAGAGAGGACAGAGGTCAGTTCCCCCAGGAGGAAACGGCTGCTTTGGACATGAACAAATATTGCACATTTTTATTTAAAAACATGCAAATCTGCTTTTTCTTAACACTAAATGAGACTGCCAAAAATAAAAACAAAAGGGGGTAAAAACAGATATTGATAATGGTATTTATTTGCCCAATGATATTTGTTTGCTAATGATATCTGTCTGAGAGAAAGAAAAAGAGAGAGAAGAAGGAAGGAAGGAAGGAAGGAAGGAAGGAAGGAAGGAAGGAGAGAGAGAAGCAAAGAGCAAATGGATGGGAGGGAGGGAGACAGAAAAAGAGAGAGAAGGGGAAAGAAAGAAAGAGAAAGAGAGAAAAGCAAAGAAAGCAAATAGACGGGAAGGAGGGAGAAAGAAAAAGAGAGAGAAGGGGTATTGTTTTGGTGAACCTATGCTTGGTAATGCTTGACACTAATATTTATGTAACAGCATAAGAAAAAGTTAAAAAATAAAAAGCACAAAATAGATCAAACTTGAACGAGGTGGAAAGAAAGAGAGAGAAAGAAAAGCAAAGAAAGCAAAAAGATGGGAGGGTGAAAAAGCAGGCCTCCCCTTCACTTCCCCAGCTGCTCTGCCTGGGGAGCTGCATCATATGTGTGAAAGAGCGGCTCCCGAGCCACAGGTTGGCCACCCCTGGACAGGGGCATTTGCCAATGGGACGCCTGGCTACAGGAGATGGGGTTGCCAGGCTCCAGGAGGGGCCTGGAGATCTCCTGGAATTGCCACTGACCCCCCCCCAGACGACAGAGATCAGCTACCCTGGAGAGAATGGCAGCTTCGGGGGGGGGGACCCTAGGAGGGCACCGCACCCCACTGAGGCCCCTCCACCCCCAAATCTCCAGGGATTTCCCAAACTGGAGATGGCAGCCGTGCCCCTCCTCGGAACGATCCCGGCTCCCTGCCCCTCAGAGCAAAAGCCGCCTCTCCTTCTTCCTCCTCCATCCTCCAAAACCCCGCCGGGGGCCGGGAGGGGCGCTGAGCAGCTCCCGCCGGGAGGGGCCGGGGGAGGAGGGAGGGGCTCACCGGACTTGGGCGGGTAGCGGTAGGCCGAGTTGGCCTGGATGTCGATGTCCTCCACGCCGGCGATGCGGCGGCTGAGCAGGGACCCCATGGCGGCGGCGGCGGCGGCAGCGGAGGAGGAGCGGAGCTCGGGGGGCGACGAGGCGGGCGTCGGGCAGGCTCCGTCGCTGGGCCCAGGCCGCTGCCGCGCGGGGCACCACGGGAAAGCGAGTGCCGCCGCCCGTCGCCGCTCACGGCAGCGCCCCGGTGCTAGAACTACGAGCCCCAGAATGCTTTGCGCCCGACGGACATAAACAAGCCAGGAGGCGGAAGGAGGCGGAACAGAGGGCGTGACAGGGATGGGCGGGGCCGGCCGGGAGGGAGGGAGGGAGGGAGGGAGGGAGGAGCGGGCGCCGGCGAGGCTGAACTCCTCGGAAAAAGTGGGAACGGGGCGCTTCTTCTTCCAAGGTTGCCGCGCGCAAGAGGCAGGCCCAAAGGGAGGGGGCAGTGTTCCCTCTAAGCTGAGTGAGTGTGAGCTAGCTCACAGTTTTTTAGCCTCCAGCTCACACGTTTTTGTCCTAGCTCAGGAAGGGATGGCTCCAGAGCAAACTAATGTATGCAGGAGCCAAATCGCTCGCTCACCACTTTGATGACCGGAGCTCACAAAGTTAGAATTTTTGCCCACAAGACTCCACGGCTTAGAGGGAGCCTTGGCAGGCGGAGGCGGCTACTGTGTTGGGTGGGGATAGATCGCCTCTTGCCTTATCAGCCTGCTCTTCTTGCAAGGGGACACTGCATTTGGGATGGGAGGAGAGGGCCTGGAAGATTAGGAAACAGCATTGGGCTTTGAAAGAGAGGGCTTCCAGCATGCAGATGTGATACCAAGTGAGGCTGCATTTGGTACCAAGTGAGGCTTGCAGACTGTCTTCAAGGGCAGCCCTGCAGAGAGGGCATTGCAGTAGTCTAGCTTGGATGTAATCAGAGGGTGGCTCGCCCGTGGCTCAGTTGTGCTTTCCAAGAAACAGTCATGGCTATTGTACCAGCTTGAAGCCAATAAGAGGTACTATGGGCTGCAGAGGAGACCTGGGCCGTAGAATCCAGCGGTACCTCCGAGATGTTCACAGCTATGATGGGAGGCAGCAAGAATGCATTCACAGAGGGACGGGAATTGTTTCAGCAGAGAGGTGTGTGTGGATGCTCTTGTGTGATATTCCAAAACAGCGAGGAAAGATCGTGAAGCCTCTCGGGGAGCGGGGGCAGCCAGCCGTCCTGAGTCTCGTATAAACAGGAGCGTCCTGAATTGATCTGTGAAGCCCACTTACTGCTGGTCAGAAGCATTTAGTGGACTGAAGTAAATTCGTCTCTCTTCATTATCTCTGTAAAATCAAAGGACGGTATCATCATCTTCTTTTAAATTAATTAACCATTTATATCTTCTAACATTATGTTTCACTGAAAAGTAGAAGCAAAAAGATCTTAGTAATATTTTATCTCACATACAATTTGTTGTTCAGTCGCACAGTCGAGTCTGACTCTTCGCGACCCCATGAACCAGATCATGCCAGGCCTTCCTGTCTTCCGACGTCCTCTGATGTTGGCTCAATTTCATGTTCGTTGCATCTATGACACTGTCTAACCATCTCATCCTTTGCCGTCCCCGTCTTCGTTGACCTTCAATCTTTCCCAGCATCAGGGTCTTCTCCATTCTCCCTTCTCATTGGGTGGCCAAAGTATCTGAGCTTCAGCTTCATTATCTGGCCTTCCAGGGAACAGTCAGGGTTGGTTTCTTTTAGGATTGACTGATTTGGTCTCCTTGCAGTCCAAGGGACTCTCAAGAGTCTTCTCCAGCACCATAGTTCAAAAGAATCTATTCTTCGGCACTCGGCCTTCCTTATAGCCCAGAACTCTCGCAGCCATCCATGACTACTGGGAATACCATTGCTTTGACCATGCGGACTTTTGTTGGCAGGGTGATGTCTCTACTTTTTATCATGCTGTTAAGGTGCGCCATCGCTTTCTTCCCAAGGAGCAGGCGTCTTTTAATTTCATGGCTGCTGTCACAGTCTGTGGTGATCTGGGATCCCAGGAACGTGAAGTCTGTCACTACTTCCACGACTTCCCCTTCTATTTGCCAAGGAGTGATGGGGCCGGATGCCATGATCTTAGTTTTTTTGATGTTGAGCTTCAAGCCCACTTTTGCGCTCTCCTCTTTTACCCTGAGCAAGAGGCTCTTGAGGTCCTCACATACAATACCGGTAAACAAACCAAAAAAGTTGCTGAGGTGCCTCCTCTTGCCAGAAGATTAACGATCGGATGTAAGAACATCCTCTGCTTGTAACAGGCATGTCTGTCTCTAAATCATAAAACCGGAATAGAATCCTGTTCATTAGGTAAAGGTAAAGGTTTCCCTTGCTCGAAATCCAGTCGAATCCGACTCTAGGGATGCGGTGCTCATCTCCGTTTCCAAGCCGAAGAGCCAGCGCTGTCCGAAGACGTTTCCGTGGTCATGTGGCCGGCATGACTAGAGCAACCAAACTGAAACAAAATATTTTGTAATTCGTCAGGCTGGATGTTACACCATTTAAAAAAACACAGAAGGAAGATTTCAGGTCTTGTAAGGCCGAGCACTGAAGAATAGATGCTTTTGAATTATGGTGCTGGAGAAGACTCTTGAGAGTCCCTTGGACTGCAAGGAGATCAAATCAGTCAATCCTAAAAGAAATCAACCCTGACTGTTCCCTGGAAGGCCAGATAATGAGACTGAAGCTCAAATACTTTGGCCACCAAATGAGAAGGGAGCACTCACTGGAGAAGACCCTGATGCTGGGAAAGATTGAAGGTCAAAGAAGACGGGGACGGCAAAGGATGAGGTGGTTAGACAGTGTCATCGAGGCTACGGACATGAAATTGAACATGACCGAGGACAGGAGGGCATGGCTTGATGGGGTCCATGGGGCCGCGAAGAGTCAGACTTGACTGTGTGACTGAACAACAACGAAGACGGGGTTCCGGGGTGGTGGTGTTCTCCCAATGACGCATGAATAAAAGGATGCTGGCATATAGCGCTTGGGAAAGGCAGTGACTGTATTTCCGCACTCTGCTGAACTTGCAGTAATTTTTGGTTCCCACCCCACGGTTACATACTTCCATACGATTTAGTAAACAAATCGGGACACGTGACAGTCACATCTCGGAGCACGGCAGCGTCGACCAGAGGAAGTAGGATCCTACGGTGTAATTTCTGCATCCTAGTTTAACCAGTCATGTGAATGTCCATGCCTCCAGTTTTGCTTCTGCCCCATCTTCAGACTTCTGCCTGTTTCCGCAATCCAAACCCTGTCACTTTATGGGGCGTCCCATCCTGTGGATTACACGTGGCCTACGCTGCATACCTGCCAACCTAGCAGTTCGAAAGCAAGAAATTGCAAGTAGATAAATAGGTACCACTTTGGTGGGAAGGTAAAAGCGTTCCGTGCGCCTTGGTGTTTAGTCATGCCGGCCACATGAGCACCAAAACGTCTTCGGACCGCGCTGGCTCTTCGGCTTAGAAACGGAGATGAGCACCACAACCCTAGAGTCGGATTCGACTGGCTTTCGAGCAAGGGAACCTTTACCTTTACTTTACACTGCATAATCTGCCTTGAAGCCAGAATTAAATAACGTAAATAAAAAGCAAATTAAAATGCCAAACCACAGCACCAGGAGGAGGGCAGAGTGGTGGGGGACGCCAGAGTTCTGTTGCGACTCCCCCACACCGGCAGAATGCAAGCCCTTTTCACTATGACGCCTGGGCACGGACAACATCAGGACCAAGGAGGAGGAAAAACAAAACCCCTGGGGTGGAGGCACTCGAAGAGCTCTTCCTCCCTTCCCGCTCCCTGGCTGACTGTGGCCCTGGCAGTGCAGGAGGAAGGCGTGTCAGCGCCGGGGAACATGAACAGGGCCCTGGCCCTGCAGCCTCTCAGCACCGGCGCCACACTGGCCAGCGCCTCTGCCAAGGCAAGCCCAGGGGACTCTATATCCCTCTACCCCCACCCCCCTCTGCATGGTCTCTTTGACCTTATATGGCCAGGTACCCACACAGGGGCTTCGACCATTGGCTGCTCGGGGATGTCACTCTGGCTACACCAGCCCTCCCCCCAAACAAAGTTTGCAAACAAAACAAAGGATTGTGGGAAGTGAAGTCCTCCTGAGCAGCTCTCGGAGAGCAAGAAGGAGATGCCCTCGTATTCATGCAAGAGGGAGACTGCACGGGGTTCAAGGGGAGGAGCAGCTGTCTCCCCGTAAGGCCTTTCCCTGGCTGCCAAAGCCCCTGAGGCTGGATCAGGCCTCTCTGCAGGGCCTTTCCGCCCCAATTCAGAGACAGGCCTGCTCTGCAGGACAGAACTTCTCTCATCCCCCCCAGAGATCTGAGCAGGGCCACGTCACGGCCCATGTGTGGAGTGTGGACAGGGCTTTATCTTCTCCAAAGGGTATTACAAATCGAAGTGGCCTGGGTTATTACCCCCCCAAAGGGTACCAAGGGGGGGGGTGACCAAGGGGATTTCCCTGCCACTCTCCTGGGGCTGCATGTGTTTGGGTGGCCGGAGTGTTGTGGCAAATGCACTCTGCACATGTTCAGGAGCTCCCTTGTTTTGTACTCTCTCTTTTTTTTTTTACATGCGCCAAAGCACGTTATGGCTATGGGACTCCTGGCTAGTCAGAAGCGCCCTTCAGCCAATGAATGGGAGGAGGCTGGGCCGGCCAAGGGCTGCTTGCCGTCCAGGCTGGATTCTGAGGTGAGGAGGCGGCCCTGGGAGACTGGCCGGCTAAGATCAGCCCCAGATCACAAAAGAACCCCTTGGTGGTCAGAACGTCAGACAGGGAGCCAGGTTCCCTCCTGCTGTGGCAGCTTGGGCCAGTGACACCATTTCGCGGGACAAAGTACCAGGTGCTACCTGGACCTCCCGGTGGCACCTGGTCTTTCTGGCCCCTGTGTGACCCAGAGTGCTGGACTGGAGGGGCCATGGGCCTGATCCCGCACGGGCTTCTAAGGGTGCCTGCCTGCACAGGACAGCGCCTACCCAGAGTTAAACCGCGTTGGTCTTCAGGGTGGCCCGGGACTCGGAGGGTGCTCTGCGGCTTCAGACCAAGACCTGGGTGGTCCACCCGGCAGGGTTGCGGCGAGGGAGAAAGGGAGGCAGCGAGAAGAGGGACCTGCCCATGCTCCGGCGGG